AATCATTCGATTCTTTACCGTCACAGTAGAGACAATCTGCGCTGTTGGGGTCTTTTGTCCGCAGTTCCACGCGAATTCGTTCTGCTCGGCAATTTTGGCAAACTCTGCGTATAGTTGAGCGGATTCTTTGTTGTTTTGCTTGATCGACTGCTTGCGATGAGCCCTGAACGCATTTTCGTATAATGCGTAAACGTGAATAGGGAGCCCGATTGAATGAGTGGCTCCCATGCCTGATTCGCAGCTTGCACGAGCAACATGCACGGGCCGCATAGATCTGGGAACACTTACTTTCCCGAAGACGAGAGAGATTCAAGGGAGACGCAGCTTCTGCGCCCGGTTCTGGCGTCGTCCAGCCAGGCGGTGGCATTCTTTTTGCGGCTGCACTGGCGCTCACTGCCGATTGCCTTACATGTCAGCATGAACACCCTCTTCAGCTCCTGATAGCCTTATAATCCCTTACGTACGCGAGGCCAAAGCTTCGCCACCAGTCATGACGGCAACTTTGCACTCGCCCCGCCAGATTCTCCTTGCCGCTTCATCGACAAGCTTCATCGATTGATTGCCTCCGTGCTCGCTATATATTTTGTGCCGTGGCTGAATCCCTAGCTTTTCCGACAGAAGGCTTGGTAAGTCAGCATACGGCCAGGTCCACGTGGCGACGATGGAGACGCTGTCGATGCTTGATTTGAGTTCTTCAGCGATGCGGTGTTCCGACGTGGCGTCTTTGAGGGCACGAACGATCGCTTGGAGCATGGGCTCAATTGCGTCCTCGACGTTTTGGGGGTCCGTTTTTGACATCGCCCACGCCGATGATGACGGGTGTCATTCTGCCGGGAACCATTTTCAAAAGAGATCGAGTTCAAACGACTGATGGAGCTCACTCTAGAGGGAATCTTGTAGTAGTGGGGGGTTGCGACAGCGGACGAGTTGGTAAAAGAGAGTAATCTATCAAACAGCTAGCGAGACAAATTACGCAAGCGACTACAATGCGACTTCATTTTAAATACAAACGTTAGCAATGCCTTAAGACAACATATCCCAGACCTGAGGTTGAATGAAGTCAAGGCGACACGAGTTGGAAGGTGCTTGCGTACTTGGCTTGGTGGCCTATATAGCCTGCAGCTGCTTCATAGATTCAATATATCCTTCCTACCCACAAGAACCTTGGCATCATCTTACTGTCGGAGGGAAAAGTGTGTCGATGGAGTAAGCTATATCTACACTTGTGATTCCTATTTCTCACCTAGCGGCATAAATGGTGGGCAGGACGTATTAGGTTCGATTCCTAATGGCGCTGGTACAATGGTGTCGCGGTGCTTTTTAATTTCTGTGTGCGTTCGAGTAGGTCCATACTGAGCTCATTCCTCCCATACCAGACGTAGCTATAACTACAAACGTTTCTTCATCCATATCCAAGTTGCTACTCTTCATCCGAACTCCTTTCCCCCTGCATCCTCGTTCAGCTCTTCCTCAGTTTACCACCAATCTCCCTGTGCATGCATAGCAGCGGCGACTTTTGAAAAGCCTGCGATATTGCTCCCAGCCACCAGACTCGGGAACTCACCCTCGGCTGGCTCGACGTACTCCTTTGCCGTTTCCAGTCCATTCTTGAAGCACGACTCCATGATGCTCTTCAACTTGTTGTCGACCTCCTCAGATGTCCATGCTATGCGTTGAGAGTTCTGAGCCATTTCGAGACCAGAAACGGCGACACCGCCTGCGTTGGCCGCTTTGCCTGTGACGAGGATCGTATGAGAAAATGCTTTCCCGTTTTGGAGAGATTTGGATCTGACATACCTGGTCCATACCAGATGGCCTCCCCCTTCTTCTCTTTCCTGTGCTTCTCAAAGACCCCAATCGCCTCCTGCGAACATCCCATATTGCTTCCCTCAGCGACGAACTTCGCACCAGCGTCAATCAACGCCTGTCCCTCCTCGCCCGACACCTCATTCTGCGTCGCGCAAGGCAGTGCCACGTCAATCTTGCCAACGTTCGTCCATGGCCTTGCGCCCTCGATGTATTTGAATTTGCCCTTGTAACTATCCGAATTGGCGATCTCCGTCAATTGCTTTCTCTTTACTTTCAAATCGGCAATGTAGGCGACTTCGTCGGGGCTGATGCCTTTCTCGCTTTCGGCAACGATGGTGCCTTTGCTGTCGGAGAGGGAGACTATTGTGGCGCCGAGTTCGATGGCTTTCAGGGCAGCATATTGGGCGACGTTCCCAGAACCGGAGATGGCGACGCGTTTGCCTTTGAATGTTTCTTTGCCGCCGGAGGCATACTGGATCATGTGATTGACATACTATGCGACACGTTAGCGGTGGCCTATGACTTAGGGGTGGAAGTCATACGTAGACAAGACCGTAACCTGTTGCCTCAGGCCTTATCAAGCTACCACCGAATGCTAGACCCTTGCCGGTCAAGCAGCCCTCCCACAACGTTGTCTCAGCCTTGTAGGCACCGAATAGCCATCCGATCTCACGAGGCGAAACACCAATGTCTCCCGCTGGTACATCGGTATTGGCTCCGATATGCTTAGACAACTCTCGCATGAAGGCAACGCAGAATTTGCGGATCTCGTTATCTGATTTGCCTTTGGGGTCGAAGTCTGCTCCTCCTTTGCCGCCGCCGATGTTCACTGGGAAATCAAAGGGTCAGCCATTTGTCGATGATGTGAGCGGACGTTGAATAAGCGTAGATATACTTACGACCAGTCAAAGCATTCTTAAAGATCTGCTCAAAGCCCAAGAACTTGAGGATCGACAGATTCACCGTAGGGTGAAAGCGAAGACCGCCCTTGTAGGGACCCAAGGCCGAGTTGAATTGCACACGGTATCCTCGATTGACCTGCACTTGTCCCTTGTCGTCCTCCCAGATCACTCGAAATTGGATGACCCGTTCGGGGATGGCAGCGATCTTGAGGGCGGTCTTGTATTCAGGGTTCTTCTTGAAAAGGGAGGAGTTTTCGAGGGTTGACACGAGCTCTGTTATTGCGAGGCAAGGTCAGCGGGATGTTGCATGAGGAAGGCAGCGCGCAGAACTGGTTGAAGGTACCTTTGTATGCCTGCTCGAACTCTGGTTCGGATGGTAGGTTCGACATGATTGCTTTATTTGCTGTTATTCAAAGCTGTAGGCTTTATGTTGGTGGATGAGCGGAATTGGTACTGTGGCAGTTGAGTATGTGAAGATTAAAGGGAAAAGAAAGCCCAATGTCACGTCATGAGCATTTAAAAGTCGATGGCCCCCGTGCTCAATAGCGGAAAAGGGCCATGGGAAAGGCAAAATCTCCGAGTATTGACATGTTGTATCTCCGATCTGCGGCCACAGCTGTCTGGGCTGGGCCACTGGGGGCTATTATTGGGCCATTGAGTGATTGGGTGATTGGGCTATTAATCGTAGAGGGGAATGGTCCGAGGGGAAGCATCACCATGCCCCCCGGGCCCGTAAGTGTACTTTTGGGGGGCAAGCTTCACGGGCAACTTGCTACTTTACTTTACTGTGTGTGACTCGATGGATTGACGTTTGGCGATAAGTCGCAGCGTTCTGATTGGCTCCTGACTCTCTCCGGGCACTAGGGTCAGCCTCAAAGCTTCCCCTCCCCCTCCCACCCCCACCTTGGCCCCCCTCTTCAATTTCCTTGGCGGCATCATCCTGGGGACGAGAAGTCTCAATTGCACGTGCACAGGCGATAATCATGGTATGTGATTTTTTTTTGTTTTTTTGTTTTTATTTGTTTTCAAAGCGACATCGGAAGCTTCAGTAGAGGGTACGGTAATCTAAGACTGGACCGTCTAATCACAGTCCACAGGGTCCCAGTCTGTCACGAGATATTCATCTAGACCATCCATAACCTTCATGTCCGCTCCCTCTATTTCAAATCCGCCGACATCGCCATTGGTAATAATGCGCGACTTCGTGACGCTCTTAGGTAAGGGCACAAAGCCATGCTGCAAGCTCCATCGGACCATGAGCTGAGCGGGAGTACATGAGTATTTCTTCGACAGCGACGTGATGGTTGGATGCTTCATCCTCAAAGCCCGAGCTAGAGGAGCGTATGCTTCGACCACGATGTTATGCTCGTGGCAGAAAGAGGTGATCTCGGTCCGGGTGTTGAATGGGTGAACTTCGATCTGGTTGACAGCTGGATGTGTTCGAAGGTTCGATGCGAGAAGCTCCTGCAACTAGAACGAGTGCATAAGAGAATGATCAGGGCCGACAATCGTCATCGAGGGGAGAGAAGAACGAAGGGTAAGACTTACATGCTTGACGCCAAAGTTGCTGACACCTCCGGTCTTCACCTCTCCATCTTCAATGGCATCTTCGACAGCCTTCCAGCATTCCAGTCTCTTGGCCTTTCCACCATAAGGGCTGTGCAACAAAAACAGATCTATATAGCCAAGGCCACTCTGCTTTACAGACTGCCTGATGGACTTTCTTGCCGCATCGTAGGAAGTGTTGGATGCGAGTTTCGATGTGAAATGGATGTCTTCTCGTTTCAGAGATGAAGTGTTGCTAGGACCGGATATGAATGCTAAGATAGATGATCCAACTTCGCGTTCGTTATGGTACATTTGGGCAGAATCGATGCTAAGAAGTGTCAGTCATATGGCATTTTTGGACGCGGAATTTGCCACCATTACGCTTTTTTTTTTTTTTTTTTTTTTTTTTTTTTTTTTTTTTTTTTTTTTTTTTTTTTTTTTTTTTTTTTTTTTTTTTTTTTTTTTTTTTTTTTTTTTTTTTTTTTTTTTTTTTTTTTTTTTTTTTTTTTTTTTTTTTTACCCGCTCGATAACCAGCCTAAAAGCGCCGTCAGCAGAAAGTCCTTCGTCGAGTGACTGTAGGAGTGTGATCTGTACCTCGAGGGCCCATTTTACAGCATTGACCGTCTCATTGCCAGACGTCAAGTAAACCCCAAGATGTATCTGTGGCATGCTCTGGCCATTGCCAAGCTGACATTGTCTTTCAGTTTACTTTCTGGAGATGCACGCTCGAAAATGACGTACCTTGATGCGAGAGCCCAGCGTAAACGATTTGCCCGCCATTGCGAGGAAATGCCGTCCTGAAAGATTATTATATCAAGAGACCGAATGCAGTTTTGAAAGTGGATTCAAGATGACGTTTGACCTCGGCCGACCCGCGGGTAGGAATATCTTACTTGTAGACCCAGAGCCGGCAACGATCGCATATTGAAAACAATACTTTAAATCATGGTAGAATTCATGATCACCTAGACTCCGCAGGCGAAATATAGAATGTAGAATGCCGTGGGCTATGTATGGTAAGATTACTATGAACGAGGAGCAGGTGATCACTATTGTGGGTTGTGGTCATTTCAACGAGACGGTAGGAAACATATATTTTTGCACCTTCGTTCAAGACCAATGCGACGCTCGCCGTTGTGGGCACTGGACATGATTTCAGTTAGGGATGACTTTTTGCCGGTAGCTCCCGTGGTTGAGTGGCAATTAGCACCACCCTAGTTCCAGGGCCAGCACCGTAGAGACATCAATGCAAGTCCATCTCCCGAGGATCAATTACCGCGAATTCATCTAGGAATATAAAACAAGCAGCGTGCATGCGTCGATCTCGGGAGACGCAGTCCACGCCTCTTGATCCCGTATTCTATAGCCGCTGCAAAGAGCCGCAGCAGATTCACGAGTCTAAAGTACCAAGGCAGCGAATACGACCTAAAGTAGCTATGGAAGAATGTTTGATCGGCAAGCCTACCTGTATGATCTGCAGCTTCATGGAAGGGTTAGCTGTTTTCGTCCCTGACATTACGTGTTCTGAAGAAGTACGAGTACCTGCCTTTTCGGGTTTAGACTCCAAGTTGCACTGCCTCGGCAAAGATGCGCCGGATGAATTGGTTAAAGTAGTAGCAAGAAAAGCGTTGGTGAAGTCCACGATATCATTCGAGGGAAGGGAGAGGAAGATGGTAAAGTACCGTATTGGGGCTTGCATTGAACCTTGACCGAACCTTTGGAGCATCTTGCATTGAACCTTGACCTGGTCGGGAGGAAGGCTAAAGTGAAATGCCGGGGGGACTGGTGGCTGACGGGTGGCTGACTGGTGGCTGAGGCTGACACACACTTTCTTCCTCCCCCTTCCAAGTTCCACCAACAATGCAAAAGCTGCGAAGCATCCTACCCGTACTACTAATCTATTACTCTACAAAGCATCCTCAGCCATCGATCATCGATGCATCATACCGTACTGCCCCCATAAAAAAATGTTATGACGGAAGTCTAGCAAGTCTAGCCTTGATGCCCTCAGATGGCGTCTTGTTCTTGCCCTTCGTGAATCGTGTAATTGCACTTTAAGATTCATGCAATCATGGATAACCTCGCGCCTCAACCTTTTGCTTTGCGTCACCGCTCACTGGATACCGTCGGGAAACCACGGCACTGATCCCATTCCAACGCCTTGGGTCCTTCTTGAACCCTGACTTAGCATTTCGCATATCCGACGCGTCAAGCTCACCGAAGAAAAATAAAATAAAAATTAAGGTAAGAGGAAAAAAGAACGAGTACGAAACCGCGATCCTCGCGGCTCAAGCACGATACCGAGATCTAATCCATAGCTTCCTATCAAATATCGCCACCAGGCCCAACGGCTATATTCCCTCACGCCACAGAAAGGATGGAGGGCAGTGAGAGAAGCGGTAACAGCTGTAGGAGTGAGATATCAAGCTTTGGTAACGTACCCCAACTGCATAACAAACCACCTCGCTGACTGAATGAATGCACAAGGCCTCATGGACTTTCCACGAGGCGCTGACGGCGAAGTACAGCAAACCTTCCAACGCGCCACCTCCGATGTTTCTCCGGATATGGGTCAACGGCCCCAAGCCAATAATCCTCAGGTACGATCCACCTGATATCCTGGTCGCGAGCCATCTGCTTACGATGGGCACATAGTTCGACATCTTCGAATGGTACCCCAAATACCAATCCTGCCAACGATACTTCGTCGATCATGCACAACAAAGCGCCCAAGTTCAAGCAGTCGCCGCCTTCGTCAACATCCATCTACCCAACCAACGACCGGTGAACCCCATACCAGGCGCCTCACCACGACCACCGCTGGGCACCTCGTTTGGCCAACCCACCCTTCCATCACATCAATCATACGCAGCAGTCTCCCTCATACCATACCTTCGTCGCCTCGTCGTGACGGGCCTTGACTTTCCGGGCGTTCTACACGGCTTCTTCGGTGACGATTGGGCGACGGGCGTTGGCCCTCTACATGAGCAAGAGCGGAGAAATTACCTTTTTGCGGCTAAGAGTGGCGGATGGGCGAGTGTGAAGAGAGATTATGACATGCTGCCATTGGAGTCGGTGCCCTTCATGAGGCCGCTCCAAGCGCCTATCATCGCGGAGATTGAGGCGGCCGAGAAAAGCTGGAGCGAATGGCTGGCTATGGAAGATTGGATGGTGGGACCGCGAGCCCCGGAGAACATGCCTGGTGATGAGGACTCGCCCAGGGCGAGAGGGCAACGGTAGTCTCAAAGAGAGCTGCGAACACACCACGGGGGCTCAGGCCCGCCAAGAAACGGGCACCAATAGCGCTGCGTCCAGCACTTGCTTGGTGGAAGATGGTGGGAACCTGATGGCATGAGAAGATGACGGAGAGAATGAGGATAGCATGAGGGATGGAGTATGGATGTTCCGAGTCAAAGAGAATCATTGCTGCTGTCACCTAGAGGTAGCCTTCTGTTAAGAGCAATCTATTATGCCAATCGTCGTGAGCCTATAATTTTCTCCCCTCTCTTATCGTTCAACCAGATCCTGTGATTTGCTGAACTCACACTGTTGTGCTCTATGTGGTACACCACCACCACCACCACCACCGTCACCGTCACCGTCATCGTCGTCGTCGTTATCCCGCAGAGGAAGCCCGTCTCGGCAGCCCTCCACTGTGGGTAGCACTGAAGAAGGTGTGAGATACCGTCTACGATCGATGTCCAACCGCGTAACCCTCAGCGAAAGCCACTGCAGCCATCCTGACACCCAGCTCCACCGTGTCTCCCGAAAACTGCCATGTCCGAAAACTCATGTAGCCATGATGCTGCTGTCGCCGAGAGACCTCCTCGCGACTCTTGGCTACAGTTTCCATCTGCAGACTTCACATGAGACTCGTAAAGGCACTGCTCCCTCGTCGTCGTCGACGAGACTGGAAGCACGCGGCAGATGCAGAGGCGGAGAAAAGACACGGTTTTTCTAAGAGCGAGGAGGGAGGGAGGGAGGGAGGGAGGGAGGGAGTGAAAAACTTCTTCCGTCTCGAGAGGCTATTGACCGCTAGCCTCCACGATGCCGGATACTCGTCAGGGGCCGTAGAGCCGATTCGCGGCGTCGGTATGGGAATGCCACAGGTGAGCGCAATTCCTTCTACGTACGGCCCACACTCGATCGACCGTTCCTCTAGCCAGTCACCCTGCCTGTCAATACTCCTCCCCTCCACGGATCCACCGCTGGTTCTACCAACCATCCAGCTACCGTTCCTTTCCATGCATGCCCTTCGACCGGAAACCAGGGATGGGAAATCGTAAAACAGATCCTCGTCCGGGATCAATCCACCTCGGAAACCGATCCGGACGCTGGGCCTCGGGGCGTCCGCGGCCAGAGAAACAGCTACAGACGACTCATCCCAACGCTCCAAACGACATCAATCCTGCACCCCAACCCGCCACCTCGACACACAACCATCCCGTGACATTTCCCCCACCCCACGCTTCCGCACCGCCGACGGCATCCCAACCCCTCGCCACCTCAACCCAACATCCACCCCCCCCCCCCCCCCCCCAAACCCACTATCCGTCCCCCGCCCGCCACTCCGACCGCTCGAATCCCCCAGCACCGTCCTCACCGTCGACCCCGAGTGCTTCCCGGATACCGTGCCTCGGCACGAGACGTCCCGCCGCCCTCGCGCGCGAGACCCAAGTCCAAGTCCCAACTCCGGACCCGAGCGAGGCGTTTCTCTCTCTCCGCGCTTCGATCCATCCGGCGCGTCGTTTGATGAATGATGCGTTGAGGGATGCGTTGGGGGTGGTAAGGCTGGGGTTGGGGAGTGGAAGTGGGAGGCTTGGGGTTGGGATTTGGGATTGGGAATCTAGTTCTGTGGGAGATTGGATGGTGTTCAGGGGGTGGGTGGGGGGGGGGGTTGGGGTGTGAAAGTTCTCAGAGTTCACGCATCGGGGATCCGGAAGGCATTTTTCGTATCGTTGGCTAGAGCCGATGGGGGTGTCTGGGTGGGGTTGGGAGGGTGCTTGAGGAAGAGAACGTGCTGGCTGTCTGCATACCGATGATGGAGGTGTCTGCTGCTTGGATCTTTGGGTCCTTCGGAGCTTTTTTTTCCCGGTCGTCTGTGCTAGGCATTTGATAAGGGACGGATGGGTGGTTCATGAAGTTACGGCGCCGGTAGGTATCTCACGCTTCATTTCTCCCCATAACCATTATCGGACAAGCCTTGAAGAACTTCGGCAGCGACGGCGTCGCCGAACGATACATATCTCGTGAGTACCATTCGGAGTCCAAAGAAACGGTCTTGGAGATCAGGGCTGGCTTCTTCTGGTTCGGTCAGGAATCCGTTCATCCATGATGGCCTTTTTTCCCTTTGCCTCTTTTTTTCAAATCAGAAGAGGAGCAGACTGACTCGTGATGCCTCATTAGCTTTTTCCCGCTTATCTAATGCCAGGGATTCCGCAAAGCTGTCTATGGACTACGACACTGCCTACTACACGCGAGAGGCTGTGCAAGTGTAGGTATTTTGGACATGTGGCTGGATATATATACGAGCACTTTTGCGTGGAGCTTAGACGTAGGTCAGGTGGCGGAGAAGGCGGCGAGCGATCGCTTGATCAAGACGCAGGACACAAGAACAGTCTTGCTCGGTGGCCCCGAAGGTAAAAAAATCCACTTCCTTCGCCTCTAGCGCCAAGTCTCAAAAGATGCTGCGCGTAGAGACATCTATAAGCTTTTGAGACTTCGTATATTCACGCGTTTGTGAGATGTCTATCGGAAATGTAGTTCTCTCATATGAACACAGCATCTATTCTGGTGTTTACCTCGCAATCAGCTCTGTGATGGCTGCAAATGAGACCAACAATCAACAGCGGTTACGGACTAGCGGACACGTGGTTGAGATTGGAAAGGTACTGTATAGCTTTGTAGTGCTAGAGATGACTTTTATCCATAACTTTGCAAAGAGGATGCGAGATTCGGCACCGAGATTGGAAACGGACGAGCTTTGACGGTGGAAGTGTGCTGGTATGTAGCGAGCCTCATGGTGAAAGGTTTGAGCTGTTACGGACTCGTAGGTCCTGTTTTGTGGCGTTGACTTGTTTTTTTACTGGCTATAACATTGCATCAAATTGTGATGCACACAGTCCGAGGTTGATATGGTCACGTTTGGCCTCGTTAGTTGATCGGCATACTACCCATGGATTGCTGCATGTTCACAGTGTCCGTCTTCGTCTGGGAGATTGCGGCTGGATGATCCTGTGGGTGGAATATGATCTGGCGTTGCCCGGACCATGAGAGATCGTCCTCATCAGATACGAGTTCACTCATGGCGCTGCTGTTGCCCAGAGCAGGTTGGAGAGCTTTACTCATATCACTTAACAGTGGTTTCAGCTCTGCGTACAGCCTCTCCCATTGCCTAGCAGCAACCCACTTTCTTTTCGTGGTGCCGAACGGTGGGTAGCAGTGGCCATTCACGGCGCTGAGTTTTAGTGCCACGGTGTTGAAACCCGTCTACTGTTGCAGTGCTCGGAATAGAGGTGGTATTTTCATGTTGGCAGCATAGCTTTCCCAAGCGCTCGAGTTCTTTCCAACACAATGAGTAAAGACTTTCTCGTGATCAGGTCTCCCTGGAAGAGTTCCAAGGGACCCGCTTGGGCGCAACTGTAGCTTTTCAGTCTGTTTCACGATATAGCGAACCCCAAATCAGAGACCTGTTCAGCACCACATCCCGCGTCGTAGAACACATCAACGTTCGTCATGCGATTTATGACATTCGAATTCGGGTGTTGCGGAACTTCCTTTCCGTACACTGGGGCAAAGTTCACTAGGAGTAGAGAACCGTCATGGCCTCCTCGTTGATGAAGTTTGACCACCTAAGGATTGCAAGGTTAGATCCGGGGTATTTTGGCGATTGAAATCCCAGGTCTTGTCAAATGCCGTTGAGTCCGGGCGCCTTAGAGGGCATGAGTGGATAGCGGATCCCAGGGCGTACGAGGTTGTCCCTTTGGGTGGTGTATCCCATGGGAATGAGGTATGCGTATATCTCATCTCTTAGCTCGCAGGGGAGAACTGACATGTTCCCTAGCGGTTTCAGTGTCTCCGTATCCATGAGATTGTGCCGGTCGTTGAGTGAGGTTTGGTCTATGAGACGAGGCAAGATGAATGGATGAATGGAGCGGTCCTCGCTAAGATTGACAGCGTGGCAGTGAGTGTCATTTCAATTCGTGCGAGAGGATTGTGTCATCGAAAAAATCCGTAGGTGATCTAAGCGCCTCGGCGATTGGGACAAAGTGGGCAGGCAGAGCTTCATCTTAGGAACAGTGCTTATTTTATCAACACCTTGTGAGGCCAACCCTCCCAGAATTTTACGCTGGGCGGTCCATTTATCTCCTGCAAACAATCCGTCATCTCAATTCACATGAGCAATCTCAGAATCAGATCGGGCCCGTAGCGTAGCTACTCGTAGGCCCCAGAACGACACCACGATCGATCTCCCCGAAAAGAAACCGGGTGTCCTTCTACTCTTAGAGCAATCCAAAACATACATATGCCCTCCGTTCCCCCTCTCGAATCCGCATTCGATACCGAGCAAGTAACTGATCTTGACGCGCCCATCTCTCTCTCTCTTCCTCCCCCTCTCCCCAATCCACAACCCAATCCATACCCAAAGACCGACCAAATCGTCCTCACACCTCTACAACATACCCTCCAACACAGCCCCATCCATCGCCCTCACCTTCACCCTCATCTCATCACCCCACATCAACCCCGCAAACCCCCCCCTCCCTTCCCCGGATAATCACCACCACCACCACCACCAACCATCGCCGCCTTCAGAACCCGAGACGTCTCTACGCCAAAAGGCCCAACTCGTCCATCTATTCTCTCCCTCATACAAACCAAACCTGCTAGCATCGACGCCGTGGCCAAACGTTCGTTCACCTAGTGGCTTTGGTTAGATGGCCTGCATTGCACCATACTACACTATACTATAAAGATGCGATCGATGAAAGCGGGCGCTTAAAGTGTGTGTGTAAGTAAGTAAGGAAGGAAGGAAGGAAGGAAGGAAGGAAGGAAGGGCATGCATGCTGCGGGCGGGAGACGAGCGTTGATTAGTAGTGCCGCGGAGGCTAAAAAGCTGGCTGGCTAAGTGGTTGGTCAAGATCACGAAGATGGATTTTCCGATAATTTTGCAGGAAGGGATGGGTTGGAGATTGTCACGGGGATCGGGGTTGATATCGTGTTCGCTAGTAAAATCTTTG